TCAATTTTTGAGCTACAATGCTCATCTTTGAACTCGATCTGTCTTTTTATGGTACAAAACGACCCTGCAAATCCCAGGCCGCTATCTCAATTCTTTCTCGAGTTATCGTGCGGACAGACGGACAAACAAACAAACAAACAGACAAACAAACAGAATGAAACTTTTCCGGTCAGTGGAGTTATGGGCTTCGCTGATCGCTCAGCCAATAAACAGGTTGGAACTTAAGTGCTTTGAATGTGCTCCTTTTGCACTAAGTGGTTCAAAATTCGTGGTTGGCAAGGTAGGCGGTCGGCGCGCGCTGACTTACAGCTGAAAACAGAGACGTGAAATGTCTTATCCACTCGTGCTATTACTTTTTTTATTTTGAAAAGCGGGTTGTATCGACACTTGTTAAAAGGAGTTTTGTCTTCTTCCTCGACGAGTCGGGTCAGACTCTGTGACGTCTCACTGCAGATGTGCCCAAACGTCATCACTTGCCTTACGCCACGGCTCTGAGGAGCAATAAAGTGGGAAGCTAGTTGGGGCTGCCGGACCGGACGGAGTGCAGGCTGGAGCACTGTTTGGCAGCCAACGAATTGACTGAGCGGCTTATCCTCCCCCTACACCCCAAATCCCTCTTCCATAGCGCTGTCGCAAGGACTTAGCCTCCGTGTGCGTGCGTGCGTGCTACAGGACCATTGCGTGCGCTGCGTCGAGTTTCAAAGTTGTTGGATCGCACATTACTTAGGGCTAGCATATGAGGGCGACTAAAAGGGCGCGAGTGTATTGCTGGCGCAGGTAGCGAAAAAGTCATCAACATTACCGCAAGACACTAAGACTACTACTGTTAGACCGAGCACGAGGCTGAGCCTCGGCTCAGCTTGTATTACGTTGCGGGTCTCACTGTATACGGACATGGGAAAAGACAGTAATTTTGTATCCAGTGAGGATGCGTTCTTAAGCACATCTCACATAAGTGCAAATTTGTGTCCGAAGGTTAAAATTTGTACCTAACCCTAAGCACCGAAAACTTGTTTGTGTCTAGTTGAGAGACGAATTTCACTTCGATTGAGATGTGCCGCGTATCCCCTCATCTGGATACAATAAATGTGTTCGTTTCTATTTGGAGAGTGGACACGCCAGTCGGACTGATCTGCGGCGCAGAGCAGCTTCTCTCATCGACGCTGGTCGCGCTCGTCGGCGCCAGGCTTAGCTCAGCCGCCCACTCATCCAAACAGCACTCACTCACTAGTGCCGTGCCAAGCTCCGCGCCGCCCAGCCCCGCCCCGCCACCTGCGCCTCCATCGAGCACCTTGACGGACACCCCTAAACAAACCCTGCCGTTTGCTTGTTCTCCGTGAAGGCACTCTCCTCCCCCGCGGCCCGTCTCCCGCTTTATACCCAGCGCTGACTAATGCGCGAGACGTCACGTCGCGCCTACAGTGTGAATCAGGCACAACGCCGAGAAGTGCGAGAATTCCGGCCGGTGGAAGAGAAATAACAAACTAAATTGTGGATGGAGTGACGCAACGTCGCAACGCGCAATAACAACCGAGTCACGTAATAGTTATTACAATAAGAGAGACGCACAACGGCCTGAGAGTGCTGAGTGGCTGCCTGCCTAAATTACACCTATTATAATTTTTTCGCAAGTAATATTAGTGCATCGAAGGAAGTAAAACACATTGCGTTTCCTGTATTCGCCGT